TGATGTTTTTAATGGTTATAATGATAAGATAAAATGATGATGGTGTTTATGATGATACTATTAGTATAAAATGATGATCGTGTTAGTGATGATTATAATGATTATCGATAGTAGTGGTCTAATGATAATTATGATAATGATAATAATTATAAGAAATGATGAATACGATGCTGATTGTGGTGATGATGATGTAGATGATGGTTATCATAATTGTGATAATTGTGTAAGTGATGATAATAAATGATGATGGTTAGGATAGTATTTATAATAATGATGGCGATGATGTCGGTTATAATAATGATGATTGGTGTGATGTTGATGATGATGATAGTGATGGTGGTTGTATTGAACATGACTGTGGAGATATTGGGAAGTGATTAAGATGATGGTTATGATGATGATTGTGGTTTTGCAGGTGAAAAATGATAGTAATAATGGTGATGATAAATATTAAAACTGTATTTTGATTAAAACTTTATATTATATTTCATATTCACAGTGTGGCATGTTTCGATGCATTCCATATAAAAAAGTCTCACGCACTTCTAAGAGCCAACCCAGGTGAAGACCAACCTGATTCTGGAAGAGTTAATCTGGGTTCATACGGATACGGCTCTGGAGGGTGTACATGGAGAGCAAATCACTGCGGACCTAACTATTGCTGCTGTAAAGCGTATTAATCAATTGATGTTTGACATATTTCATAGTCAATTATTTGATGAACATAATAAAAATGTGTCCTTGCGATTAAAAGTATAAAATAAATAAAACAATATAACTGCTGTTGTTTTATTTGAAGCATTCCTGTGTATGAAATATACGTGTAGGGGATAGGTTTAGGGGTTAAAATGATTTGCATAAATGTCACTGAGAAGTGATTGACTTTCATGTGCCGTTACAATTGAATTTCCCGACTACAGTCTCTAGAAATATAAAAGGGTCGATCACGGGGGAGAAATTGTTACACGAGGGATGGAGTTCTTATGATAACGTGCGATACCTGTCACGGAGTTCGTCGGAAAACGTTTGTATATACTACAAAAACACTCGTCAAGAAGGATAATTTTCATCTTTAAAAAGCGAGTTTTAGGTGCTAAATTAACTTTTAATGATTAAGCTTTCCTTACATATTGTGTTATATATCAAAATTAATTAATCAAATGGCCTATGAATTAGTTTTTGACACATAATACAAGATGTTAGGCAACCTAATCATTACAGTTTAATTCAGCACCTAAAACTTAATTTTCAAAGATGAAAATTATCATTTTTGCCGAGTGTTTTTGTAGTTTATTCAAGTCTTCCAAAGAACTCCGTGACAGTTATGACAAGTATCGCCCATGTAACAGTTCATGATAATTTTGTTTCATGCATAACATAAAAATTGTTTAACAAAACTAGAAAATACGGTTTGACTTTTCCATGGGAAGAATGCATAGAGCTTAGTAACAAATACATGTACGTGTTAATTCAAAACATAGTCGGAGATCTTACCATGTTTTTGTTTGTACTGTGATATAGAAGCAATACGAATACGAATATCTATATTGGAATATTAATGTTTGTACATTTTCGATTACACAAGAAACCTACTACGTAAAATAGCAGATAAAAAATGAATTTTGTTAGGAGATATTTTAGAATGTTTCCCCCAATTATTCAAGTGCTTTACTTGAAAAATTCACATGCTCTTACATGTACTAGTTCTTTTTATGTAAGTCATTAAATTCATAAAATTCCTTTTGGGTTGTGTAATATTGTCACCGTCTATTGTCAATTTCAGGCCCGGCTCAGGGACTCTAAACTTCAGGTTCATCTGCAACTTGAAATCATGCAATCATAATTATGACGGTATATTTACAAGCACATTGTTAGTCAAAAGTGAAAAAGAAGTCCAAATTTGTGTAACTTTCACAGTTGCAAATAATGATTCTTTTAGTTGTGCGTTATACAATGTAAATGATTTTCATAAACATCTCAATTTAAGTTTACCTTCTTCAACTGGTAACTGATATTTTCTTCACTTTGAGAAATATAATGAGGGTCTAAATAAATAAATAAATAAATAGAATAGAATAAATAAATAGAATAGAATAGAATAGAATAACAGAACGACACAGTTAATTATAAGACTAGAATGGAAGTGAAATAGAATGCACATTTAGATAAACATATAAACCTATAATATATTCGTTTTTAATTTGAAATTCTTTATTTGAATGTTAATATAGTATGTGTAAGCTATATTCGTCAATACATATCTACCTTTTATCTTACTAAAAGCAAATATTTAAAGATCTGTGATTTGTATTTTCTCAAACCTACAGATGAACAAAATGTTTGTAAACATAAGGCGACAATTTCGTGACCAAGTATGATTATCTTTTTACGCATCTGAACATTTTAAAGATGCAATGAAGATGTGTCAGTAAAAATAGATTGCCTAAATAGAAAATTCTGATTGTTTTTAGACCAAAAAAAAAGACGAAAAAAAAACAAAACAAAAAACAAAAACAAACAAAAAAAAACATAAACCATAAGGAAGAAAAATAATCCTACTGGACAATCTGTCTACTTTTCATTGGATGGTATCTCAGCCATACAAAGTCTGAATGAAGGTGAGGTCATTGATACCAGGATGTCCCATTCCTGAGGGCAAATCATTTGTATAAGAGCAAAGTGTTGAACTATCAAAGAACTATATTATATTGGGAAGCTTCTACTGTGTAAGTATTATTTGTACATTAAATTATAGATTTCATTTTTGTTTGATAATAATAAAATAATAATAATAATAATTATAATAATAATCATTATTATCATTATAATTAATATTTATTATTATTATTATATTATTATTATTATTATCATCATAAAGTGACAATAATAAAAGGTAATGATGATGATGATGATGATGATGATGAAAAATGTCCTGTTGGTTAATCTTTATTGGTGTGTTCAAAGTCCTGATATTGCATTTGTCCACAACGGGCACATTTTCCATAAGACTTTATACAATATTGACAAAGACAATAGAAAGGTATCATTGGATATTATTTTAATATATTTCTTTTTAAAAATGTTGATATACGTTCTAAGTGATTTCGTATGAGCGTGTATATGGTGAAAATATTATTTTGTTCTAGAATAACTTAGATATACAACAACGGATCATGTACAAACTTTTTGCATAATAAGCTATATGATTCTTTCGTGTTCTGTTGTCACAGGTTAAAGTAAACTAAACACTATCAACATAATTATTCACGATATAACCGCGGATTTAACCACTTTTATTACAATAAAAGACGTGGTATTAAGATATTCCACTGTGGACCAGTTTACTTTGCGATTAATTAATTTTTAATTGCAATATTATATAGATAACATTTACCTTGTATACATTTTTTGTACAATAATACAATAATATTAATAATATTAATGAATGTGAAAGATTCAAGCTAAAAGCATTGATTGTTGCAGTAGGATGAAATAAATACAGAAATAAAATCAACTTTTGCAAATTTAAATAAAAGAAAACAAAATTATTAACTCTTATAAATAATGGTTTTAGCAAACAAATGTGGAGACTTTTTATCATCATATTGAGAACCTTAACACATCAGCTAGCATATTATAAAAGTAATAACACATGTATAATATGACTGTTCAAAGCTTTTTACAAACACGCAAATGTGAAGGTATTACGACTGGTTTCCAACTCTTTCTTTGCTTTAATTAACTTGTCAGAATAATTACATAAGTATGCTAGTCCTCTTTATTTTTCGTTTGTCACGAAAAGAATCCAAAGGATATCCAAAGGATAACATGTTATTAACGTGTTAAAAGACATGGTTGTTTATAAATAAAAATTACAATCATTTACACGTAAGTTAGTTCGAAAAGCCAATTCACATTGACAATGTTAGCTCGTTTTACTTATTTTCACATTATTATATTTCAATTTTCTAAATACTAAGTTTGATTTTCTTTGTTTATGACAATTGCGGTGATGATGGTGATGTTGATTACCATAAAAATAATTTTGATGATGATGATTGTGGTGGGCAATAAAATGATGTCTGCGGCAGTAATGATCATATAATAAAAATATCAGTACTGATGATTATGGTTGTGGTGATGATGATAATGGTAATGGTGTTGAAGATGATAGGTTTTATTATGATGATGATGTTTGTGGTTGTGGTGACGATAGTATTGTTGATGGCGATGTTGGCGATTATGATTACGATGATGATGATGATAGTTATGCTAATGATAATAATAATTATGTTGTTACTACTAATTACGATAATAATGACAAAGATGATGATAAAGAAATAGCAGATAATAGTTTTTTTAACAATTTCTTTATTTCTATAATATATTCACAGCGTGTCATGTTACGATGCATTCCATATACATAAGAATCATCCCCTTCTAAAAGCAAACCCTGGGAGTGACCAGCCTGATTCTGGAAAAGTTAATATAGGTTCATACGGATACGGCTCTGGAGGATGTACATGGACAGCAAATCACTGCGGACCTAATTACTGTTGCTGTAAAGCGTATAATTAATCAATTAATGCACGACACATTAATAGACATATTACATGTATTTACACAGAAGACATGTCTCGTGCGATAAATCTTATGGTTCACTTTTTTGCTGTTTTTTTTTAAATTAAAATTTAGACAGTAGAAGTTGAGCTTTTCACCCTTCACAGCCAAATATTAACCTCTTTATATTGAATATAGGTAAAGTACACCAAAATGTTTTAAATTACCCCGTTTGATATGTTTTCTATATTGCTAAAAGGATGTCATTATGTCACACATTTTTCTATTGTATGGCAAAATACAACTGCATTATTAACTCAAAAATAAAATACTTCAGCGAGAGAAGGAGAGGCTTTTGTAATAAATTTACATCCCTTATTAATAGCATGAACCATGGCAAAACGTTCATTCACTAAACCAGCGTCACTTCCTACAAGTGCATTGATAATATTTACCTGCTCCCTATTAGTATTTTTTCTTAATAGAGGAAAGAAATATGTTCGTTTAAACTCAGCGAGATCTTTGCGATATTAAAATAACTACAAACCCAAAGCTTTTAAAATGCTTTGACATGACATGGACCAAATCATGCTTTTACTTTCATATAAAGATGCATAAAGCAACAAATTGCAGAAGACAGGTAGTTAATTTGTTTATTTTTGTAGAATTATTTTTTATCAACGAAAAAAAAAGAGAAAAAAAAGAGAGAAATGTTCTCTTATATCTATTAAATCGCAAAACTATTTTAATTTCTTCAAAAACCTAATTACCATGTACGAACTGTTTGATTTTATTAACATATAAACATATAAAATCGGACTATATTATTTTACCTGTACGTATGTTGTCCTTATGCAAATATGGGAGGCCGAATAAACAACAACATGAGACGGCAAGTCATCGCCTCCCGAAAAGTTAAAATAAGTTTGAGGCATATTACAATTTGAACTTAATATGAAAAATTACATTGTTATTATTGAGAATTGAATTGTGAAGTATTAAAAACTCTCTCTCTCTGTAATACGTGGTTCATAATTTGTAACAATATATATAGAGGATATTCAAGTTTTTACTATGAATGCAGAATTTCTTTTCATAGAGTGGTATAATATATGACGATTTTCATAAATCCTACAGGTATTCATAGAAAAATTTGAATGTTCTGTTTATTATGTACATTTTTCTCTCTATTTTTGACATTATAATTTAAAAGAATTTCCCTAACATTTTGTGTTTGGGCTGAATTTAGAAGAAAGTAATGCGGCAAGACATCAGTGAAAAATAGTTTTTTAGTAAAAATACGGAAAATGAAAATACGCATTTTATTTCATCAATCTTTCTCAATATTTCATTTAATATAATAAAACATTATATTAAGTAAAATGATTATACCAAACGCTTTCATTCCTAATTATACCCAATATCCCGATCGATTACTATATCAAAACAAATAATTGTCAAAAGAAAATAATTAAAAAAAGTTTAATTTGTTTCATTTGAACTCCTACGTTAGACTTTATAACTCCTACGAAGGAGATAAAAAAAAACCTAACAACGTACATCTAGGACTTCATAACTCCTGCGTAGGGAGAAAACATGCCTGGATAGGAGTTTATAACTCGTTCGCAGGACTTGATAACTTCTATGTAGGAGATAAAAAGCCTAATTCAGAGTTTATAACTCCTTGGTAGGACTGTCTGACTCAGGACTATGGAGAAGACAAAAAAGTCTTATAAAGGAGTTTATTAGTCGCCGGTAGAAACCGGCGACTATATTTGTAACAGTTTAATATTATATCTATGGTAGGAGAAGGCCTTAAAATCTAAATATAAAAGCATATCAATTACTGAACAATTAAGGACCACAATTATTTTTCATAATCTTAAAAATTCAAAAATAAAGTAACGTTGCTAAATGAAGTAAAATATACAAATATTGACATCTTAAAAAGCAACATTACAATTTTCATAAAATGAATTAAAAACGTATCCCTATGGACCAGTCATTTAATTTAGGGATACTTTTACTTTTTTTTCTAAGTGTCAAGCGTTGCTATTTTATGATTGATAAATCATGAATGATATTTGAAATGACACATTTAAATTATTTGGTTGTTTATATCTTATGAGACCTATTATATTTTCATTATTTTAATCTAAATTAAACAGATTCTCCCTGTTCTATTGTAAGAATCACGTGACTACACGTTGTATGTTAGTGTTATAGAATCTATTAATAGTAACAGATTGCTGATAAGACATACTAGTTGGAAAACGGTATGGCGGCTAATTAGATGCAAATGTATAAATAATTACAAAGTTATCTTTCATTAATCAGTTTCATATTTTATATCATTAGAAAGGTATGTATACTCATAATTAGCACATTAAAAGAATTAAATAAATTTTCAAAACCTTTTCAATTCTTTCTCGGTTAAGGGTTTAACTTGGCCCTTTCTGTCAACGTGCAATAGTTTAGTTTAGGTTGAAAATCACAAAATGGATTTATGCTAAAGAGGCACATTTATTGAAATAAATAGTGGTAATCGTCGTCTTCGTTATATACCGTCGATTTCCGTTGCGCAAGTTACCAAAACGGTATGACGGATCGTATTAGATACATAATAAAGAAAACTAATAAAATATCTTTTTCTTAATATTTTATCGAACTGAAAGGCATTTCAACGTTTACTATATCGTACGTAACGACAGGAATATTGATTTCTACTAAATAATTTATTTTTTCGATAACGCAGAATTTTTTTTTGCAGATACCACTTTAACGGTAGAATTGCATTGTTTCATTTAATAATTAAAACATATATATTTTCAAATATTCGATGACCTTTGATTATTTGGCGGTAATTATCGGATTCTGTAGTATACAAAACGGATTTCACTCGCCTTACAAAATTAATCAAAATTATGAAATAAAAAATGCTAGAAATGACACGATTTATCAAGTTATGTTTGATATAGTTAAAAGAAATAATAATAAAAAAAGTTTTACGAAAACTGCAAAAGGGATTTTCAAAGATTCGAATTTGGCCTACTAGGTCACAGCTTCGTCCTACTTACCATCTGTAGGCCATCGAGCAATATTAATTGATTTAATATCGAGATCTATACTATCAATAAAATCTTTAGCATAAATCATAAGAAGTTACGTAAACTAACGAAATACTTGCTTAATAATCATAGCAGTTCCTTGACAATATTGCTAAGCAAGTTTGCTTCATATATGATGTTTTATTGTGAATAAACAGTTACACAACATATTGTTCCTCTTTTCTTTATACCTGAAACATTAATTAAACTGATATTTTTTTTATATTTATGATAATACAGTCATTTTCTATCCGGCGACTTGATGCTTTAGCATCAAAATCTTTACTTGTAATCCTATGTAGTAGTAGGACTTAATAACTCCTATTGAGGACTTAATAACTCCTACGTCGGAGATAAAATTAAGTCTAATAAAGACTTGTATCTCCTTCGTAGAAGGTTGAAAAGGCCTAATTAGAAGTTTGTAATTCCTACGTCAAAGCACACAATGTAACAGACTAGAGCATAACAAAATATATAAGAAAATAAACTTGATGTGTCAAATTGTAGCTGCTTAAGTAACTTCCCACATTACGAAGCCTGAGAGACATTTGAAAAAATAAAAAAACGAAAAAAAAATGATTTTATTTCCAAAAAAAGGGAAAAGTTTTAAAAAACAATTTTTCCGGCTTGGGAAAATTGGGAAAAAAAATTTTTAGTTATTTTCATTAGGGAATAAAAAATCTTTTTCGAAATTAGGGTTTTAAACCCCCCCTTTTTGGTCATAAAGTTTTTCAAAAAATTGTAAGGTTTTTTGGGCAAAAAAGAAAAAATCAAAATCCCAAAAGAAAAAGGGCATTTTTAAAATTTTTCAATTTATTTTTCGACTTATTTTTTTTTTTTAAAAAAACCCGCTTTCTAAAATTTGGATTCAAAAATTTTTTTAAAAGTATTTTATTTTTTAAATTTTTTTTTTAAGGGAAACAAAGTGACATTTTTCAGTGATTGTTTTGTTTTGTTTCAGTGTTCGGATCTATTTTACTATGCACCAATAAATCACTTTAGTGACTTGGTTCTTTCGCTCGAATCTCTTGCTTCACTATGTGGGTATTAATTAAAACGGCTTGTTGCAATAACAATTTGACATGTGAAATTTATTTTCCTATATGATATGCTACTCTAAGTTATGCTATTTTGCATTGAGCTCGAAGAAACAGGTAGTGGAAGGTGGCTTCCGGAAAAATGTGTATTTTGTACGAAAACAGGAAACTTGATATGCATGCAGACTGATAACTGGAGAATGTGTCATGCGGTCATACCGTGACCTAATTTCATTATGTCATACACTGCAGTAAGCATCAGTCTTCAGGCTCTTGTAGTAGGAGCTTTATTTCATTGTGATCGGACAAACAGTAAGCTTACGGTGGTTTTCGGAAAACGGTGTATTTATAGGCATTTACAACGCGGACTGGAGTTTGTGATATGTGGGAATACTGAAACCTTATTTCTTTGGTAAGCTCAAATTGTTCATTATTGCTTTAAGAACCATCTTGCTGTTGCAGCAGCCTTTTTCAGTGCGATCAGACAAACAGGGAGATGAAGTTGGAAAGTGATGTATTTCTTACGAAATACGTAAACTTAATATGCATGAATAACAAGGACTAGTTTCTATGTCATGCGGGCATATTGAGACCTTATTTCTTGGGCCAGCACAATATGTCAAATATTAGGGTAGTTGACGTTGGGTTTCCGAAAAAATGTTTTTGTTTTTACAAAACTTCATAGTCATGTATTTAGAACGCGAACTAGAGCTTAGGACATACGGACCTACTGAGACCTTATTTCATTGTCAAGCACAATTCATGTGTCACACATTTTTGTAAACATCTGCATGTACACTTTTGCAGCAGTATATAACATAGAGATCGGATAAACGGGTTGGTGACGCTGGTTCCTAGAAAATGATGTGTTTTCTAGGAATACTAAAACTCTATATGAATTCAGAACACATACTTGATCCAATGCCATGTGGACCTATTTAGATCTTTGAACGTCCTACTTCAGGCTGTTGCAGCACCAATTTTGCATTGAGATCGCCAGACGAAAGTGTGACGGTTGTTTCGGGAAAATGGTGCGATTTGAAAAAAAAATACGTGAATATATATCAATTCAGAACACGGACTGAAACCTTTGCCACGAGGATGTCTTTCTTATTTTTTCGGTACAATGTGTCATAATTGCTGCATATGTCAGCCTTCAGTCTGTTGGCATTGATATTATACTGGAAGGTGACGGTGGATT